TTGCAATACATTGAATTGATGTGACAACATATAACCTTCCTCGGTCCTCACTTGTCTTGTCAAATATATATTATCATAGGCATTTTCAATTTTATTTGTGGGAGTGTAGATATATCACCAAGTGTATATTGAATCACTTCATCTAAAAATTAGACTATTGACCTACTTGCTCCCAAACTTACTCTAGCTAGAAATCATAATGCTATACTCTAATTAATGGTAGCTCCATACTAATTTTTATCAATGGCATGCCATTATTTAGTATGTTACAACGAATGTCACATCTAAAATTATTTTACTATCTGCTATTTCGAACTGTTGTAGTACGAATTTGCCAAATTGAGACAAGACATGTCTCACTCGTTTTAATAGAAAACGGGACTTATCATTGAATAATATGCAACACCATTATCTATGGAATCAATACCTGGCCATGGTGGTTAAGATAAGAAAAGTAGATTATAATTGTTTTCAATGCTGACTTATAATGCAGAATGGTCCCAAACTTGGGCCTTTTCATTTGCACCACTTACCTCCAAAAACCTTGTTCACTGTTTACAATATAAGTGCTATGAAATAATAATAATTGCTATATTCAATAAATTTGAAATCGATTATAAAATTTATCATATCGTTATTCTGTACAATTTATCCGTAGTCACGGTCCAAAATTACTTACTCTTCCAAGTTTAATATTTTTTTATCTGGTCAAGCGTGGATAAAATAAAATAAAATAAGTAGTTCAATTGCATTACGTTGTTGATCTCTCTAGACTTCAATGAAGAAGTTCGTTACTAGTCTATTTCGATTTCTGGTAAAAGACTAACTAAAGATGATGTTGATAATAAAATATTAGGGGATTTGCCTTTTGAGGAAAAGGCTATTTGTCTCCTTGCAATAATTGTTCATATAAAATCTTTTAACTCGATTTTCATTGCGATATTTACTATTTATCTATTATCCAATTTAGTAGTGTCTACACGAACTTTTACGATTAAGACAACAAATGAAAGTGTTGTGGATAACCTCAGACCAATCTATCGAATATTGACTAATACGTAATTGATCGAACACCACTTGCAAACGGTACTCCTGCTCAGGCACGAATCTCATCAATTATTGAGGGGTGAAATTAGGGTAGA